CCCCAAAACCCCAAAACCCCAAAACCCCATCATAACTTTTAATTCAGAAAATGTAGGGTAATCAAAATATAATCCACAAAATAATAGATTAAGGTGAGTCCTTCAAGCCTTATTTTTAGAAGCATTACTGTATTGAATTCTGAGATCATTAATAAGTTTCTAAAGCAGATATTAAAATTAATGTTAGGTTATCTTACATTGAATTTTTGATCATTTTTTAGTTTCTAATCATTGTTACAGCCCCTACCTAGACTCTTATTATCATTTGCCTCTTGCTATTTAGTATCGAATAAGGACTCGAGAAGACTCTCTATTTCATTCAAGCATTTCTTGTATTTAGGAATGATTCCCTGCTTCTCAATAACCATTGAGATATTTTGTTGGTTGTAAATCTAAGATTCGTTATCCTTTGAATAGCATAAACTATTGCATGACTGATTTACGATAGGAGTCGAGTTATCTAGTTGCTAAGAGTTGTATCTGTGATGAGTTCTAGATTTGCTTACAGAGAGTCTTTGCTGATTTTATGAAGGTCCATTTTTATCTTGTCTTTCCTCTTTTTTTATGAACTGTTGTAAAAGCTACTTATTGATCTTAGGCTGTTTCATGTTAGGCGTGTTTTAATTAATAGACTTGTCAAGCTTTGAGCAAGATGACAAATTAAGTTGATTAAGAATTTCTGACTCTGTTCCTGCAATAGACTTTCTCATGTATCTCTCACATTCATGCTGATTGTTGGGCTTCTAAGTTTTATTCATTAGATGACTATTATTAAGTCTTTCTATTGATTTTTTATCTTAATTTGTTTCTTAAATAGGTTTAGGTATTGGTTTTTTTGTTTGCAATGGATTTAACCTTTCTTTACTTCTCATACTTTAGACATTGGTATTCACTCTATTTCTAGACTCTTATCTTACAGGTTAAATGCCTATTAATGCAGAATCATTCAAATGAGAATTTTAAGATCTTTTCAGATTAGTTTGTGATAACTGCTGAGGAGATCTTTGGAGCCTAGCTCTTCTTAAAGGATCATTCAATGAAGCATTTAGTACTGTCTAAGTTAGTATCTTGGCCTTAGAATTTGATCTAGACATTGTCATATTTTGATTTTTAGGGCTTTAAATTGGGATCATTTCAGTCATTGACGATACTGGTCTTGTTAGAAGGTTGGTAGGACTTCTGTTTCTAGCAATCGCAATTGCATTCCAATCTATGAACTTTTCTTATCTCACCACCATCTACACACTTGATTGCTACTAAATTTTAGGCTTGGTATTAGAGGAAATATATGATCTTGGCTGAGGTGGATCATTTTCTCTAATAGGGGATACTTCTTCTGGTATAGAAATTTTGACTGTCTTTTTCTTTAATTGATTCTATCGTTGATAGAATGCTTATCTGTGCTTGACAAACCATAAATCTTCCTCAAGAATCTAATCATAAAAATTTAGGAATTTCGTCTTTAAATTGCTTCTGTCGTCTGTATTCTCTTAATGCACATATTCTTAAATCTCAGCAGCAAGTAAGGATGTGATGATTCTTGTTCTCCAACCTAAGAATAAGCTTAATATAAGTTGTTTTGCTTTCAGTCTTCTCTATATAAGCTTTCTAAACTGTTTTGATTTCCAAAATTTTTAAATCAAAATGACTGAACTTTTTAGTTTTTACAGCTAAGCTCTTACTTATTTGCATAACATATGGCGAGTAACAGATCTTTTAATGATTTGAGCAGCTCTAGCCTAGTTTTGCAATTTCATCAGATATTTATCATCATTTTATCGCATCATAATAAACTTCTGCCATATCAGATAAGTTTTGAAAAATCTTTGAATCTTTTTAGCAGCATAGTTCATTTAAAACACTGATATTTTATTTTATTTCAATTTTCCTTCATCTATCTTATGAACTTTCTAAACTACTCTATCTGGCTTTATTTCAAATACCTTAGCGGGCATTTGTATTTCATTTTCATTTTGGACCTTGTTTGCTCTTGCCTTTTTATTTGGACTAATCTTTGAGATCTGATCGAGATGGATAAACTGAGAATAGTCCTAAGTATTTCCAATAGCAGTGTTAAGTTTGATAAGATTTTAAATATTTTAGAATGGGGTCTTATGGTCTTGCCCAAATACTCGAGAATTTTATTCAATTTATCTAGGCATACTGTGAATTGGATTGAATCTTTCACTATCTTAAGTTTCTCTTAAAGGACTAATATTTCCACAGCTAAACGGTTAAGGATTATATTATCTATCGCTAAATTAGTGCTAAGAATCAACATTCGATGATTAGAAAGATTAGCCGGCAAAACTTGGTTTCTTATCAAATACTACCATAGAACTTTAAGAATTTGATTCATTAAAGGCAAAGTCGAATTGATTTTATTTAACATTTTAATTGGTGGCTGAATAAGGATTATCGACCGTTTATTGTTAAATTATCGGTGATCCTTACAACATTTCATTATTAGGAGTGTTATCAGATTTCAAAAGCTAAATGAAATCGATGTTCTCTGTATTTTACTCAGCTTTCATAAAGCATTCAATGGAAAGCATGCTATTTTTCACACTTATACTAGGAATTTCCTGGCTTTACCTAATGGAACTGTCCTTTTAAGATCTTATACTCATTTTGAGGAAAGTATTATTGATTAAATTTTAATTCTAACATCTAGAATTAACTGAATTTTTAATCAAGGGGTTTTGGGGTTTTGGGGTTTTGGGG